TGTCCCCTTCTCTTACTTGCCCTTGGGTGTGGCCTACCTAGATGTCAGTCAACCTGCTGACAGTGGACATCTTGAAGATAGACTCAGCCCCCTGAAACCTGACCCCTTGCCTCATTTGAATAGCTTCTCCTCAATAAAAGGGGTCGGTGCGTGCTCTCGCTCTCTCTCTTTCTGCAGACCCTTAAGGTCAGAGGAGCCATCACAGCGATCCCAAAGAAAAAGGTATTTGTGTCTCTTGGTTGGTTATTTTGCACAGCCAGTCAGCCCAGTTTACCTGGAGTGACACCTGAGCCTTTTAGTTATGAACAGAAACCCGGCAGATTTCTTCTGTTGAAGCTACCTTTGCATGATCAGGATATTGTGGCCCTTAAACATATATCACTGGACAGTCAGTGCCTCTAATACTGGTGATGTTAGAGGTGATGTTTTTGGTAAAAAGATGGGGTTTATGTTTGCCAAGTTGCTTTTGCTTTTTAAACTCTTTCCCTGACGCATACCTATGTTGGGTTAATAGTATGTTTAATAATGATTTGATTGTTTGGGTTGCAGTATTAAATTTTTGACTGTCAGTGAATCATTCAGTCTGATATAAACTTATACAGGGAGAAATAATTCTTATTACTTATATTAACTACTGCTTTTATAGTCTTACAGTGATGAAATAGGAAGTTAAAGTAAGGTTATTGAAATTAAGTTTATTTGATATATTATGGTTGAATGCTTTTTAAATTGATGACTACTTTTAGGCCAATTGTGAATTTTAAATTTGTTGTCTAAGGTTATTTCCTTTTTCTAACGATCTGTCCTCTTTAGATTAACATTTAAATTTATATTATGATTCTGGATTCTTCTTTTTTTCAGTATTGAGGTGCTGAAGCACTGAGCCACATCCCTGGCCCTTCTTTTTTAATATTTTATTTAGAGACAAGGTCTTGAAAAGTTTCTTAGGGTCTTGTTAAGTTGCTGAGGCTGGGTTTGAACTCGATCCTTCTGCCTCAGCCTCCTAAGCTGCTGGGATTAACAGGTCTGTGCCACCACACCTGGCAGGATTCTGTATACTTTAGGTAAATTTAAAGTTGACTTAAAATTCTGGTCTGAACAATCAGCTGTTACTGGGCCTGATTGGCTTTTCCTCTCTATGCATAAATTTTTTCACTATTTTGCTACATAGATGGATTAGCTCTTTTAGCTGCTTGTGAGTAACTTGTCTGGTTTCAGGGTTCTTGGCTTAAATATTTTTTTGTGAACTTTATTCTGGTAGCTCTGGTCTGTTGAGATTCTCTGTTTCTTCTTTAAAAATTTTTTTTTAGTTGTAAATGGACACAATACCTTTATTTTATTTATTTTTATGCTGTACTGAGGATCACCCAGTGCCTCACACATGCTAGGCATGTGCTCTACCACTGAGCTACAATACCACTCCTTCTGTTTCTTCTTTTTTTTTAATATTTTTTTTTGTTATAGATGGGCACAGTACCTATTTTTTTTTGTTTATTTATTTTTATGTGGTGCTGGGGATCAAATCCAGTGCCTCACGCATACTAGGCAAGTGTTGTATCTCTGAGCCACAACCCCAGCCCTTCTGTTTCTTCTTGAGTCAATTTATCTAATTTTTTTTTTTTTTTGGTGGTGCTGGGGATTCAACTCATGGCCTCTTACACACTAGGCAAACACTCTGCCCCTGGGCTGCATACCCAGCAATTTATTTAGTTAATTAAAAAAAAATTTTTTTTGATGTAGATGGACACAGTACCTTTATTTTATTTATTTTTATATGGTGCTGAGGACCGAACCCAGTGCCTCATATGTGCTAAGCAAGCACTCTACCACTGAGCTATAACACTAGCCCCTTAATTTTTAAGTTATTGGAACAAATAGCTTTCTTATACCATATTCAAGCAGTTAGAAAATATTTAGGAAAAAATATACTCCACTGATAATAATTACAAGAAATATCTAAAGGAATTAACAAAAAATAGCAGAACTTGTAGGAAAGAAATGTTGAGTACCAAGAGTCATAAAATGAGGCTCAAGTGGAAAGATGCAAATTATTATTGGATGTGAAAAAATATTTTATACAACTTAAGAAAACTTAGAAAAAACCTGGGACAGATGTTGATTTACCATATTAAATAATAAAATATTTTAAAGGTACAATTATTAAAATATTGTGATACTAGCTCTGAAATAGGGAGCCAGATTTAATTCAATGGAAAGTTCATAATCAGAATAAAAAAATTTTAGTTAATGTACTATAATACACTAACATGGAAAAGATGGAGGCTAAATCATGCTGTGACAGATGCTATGCTACGGGGTTGGGGCAGCCTCTTAGAGTTTATTTCACATCACATAGTTAAATAATTTTGAGATGGATTAAAGGGTTGAATACTAATAAGGAGAAATATGGAAAAACTATAAAACAGTTGAATATTTGTCTAATCCTAGTGAAAGATTCAATATAAGAGCAATTAAAGAAATCACTACAAATATTAATGAATGTGATGAAATAAAAACAAAGAAGCTGGGCTGGGGTTTTGTGGCTCAGTGGTAGAGTGCTTGCCTAACATGTGTGAGGCACTGGGTTCAATCCTCAGTACTACGTTTAAGCAAATAAATAAATAAAGGTTCATTAATAACTAAAACAACAAACAAAAATCACAAAAAAAAGCCCTTTCTTAAAAAAAAATTGGACTCCAAAATCATACTACCACCTGAGAAAAGTGTTTGCTGCCATTATACATTTTCAAGGATTATTATCCTAAAGATAATAATCTCAAGGCCTCATACATATTAGATGGGAAACACTGAAGCCCCAATTAGGCAATGAGAGGAAGATATGAAAAATATCAATTCATGGAACAAGAAATATTAATGGATAGAAAACACCTGAAAAATATTCAGCTGAATTCATAATGAGAGATATGCAAATTAAAATGGTATACAAACTTAAACCTTCATTATCAAATTAGCAATTTAAAAATTTAATTCACTTTAGTGAAAATGGAGATAAACCATTACATTTTCAGGCTTCTTGGAATGCAAATGGATGTATCTTTTTTGGACATTTTGGCAGCACCTATTAGAAATCCTCCAAATGCTTATAACCTTTGACTCAATGATTTTCCTAGATACAGATTATAAGGAACTATTCAGAAATGTGCAGAAATATTTCCATTTGAATTGTATACATCATTACATCAAAATAGTTAAAATTAGAAGCCATGTAAATGTCAATAGAAAACAGATAATATAACCTAGGGGCATATGTAAAAATACTATGAAGGCGTTTAAAAATACTTTAAAAATTATAAGTGACATGCAAAATTGCTCAGAACATATGTATGTTATGATTTAAATTTTATAAGAAAAAAAGAAGGAAATAATCTAAGGTTTACAATATTTATTGGTGACAGATTACTTCCCTATTTAGATTCTGAATGTTTTATAAGGAGCTGAAGTTTTCCGTTAAATTTTTTATAGATGTTGATTACATACACGATATGCATGCACCATAAACATACAGCTTAGATAATTTTCAAATGATAAAGTATCCACACCAGGAAAAGTGAGTTCCCCAAAATCTATTTCCATCACTTTACAGTCACTGACCCTCTTGCAAGGTAACCATGATTTTGACTTCTCCAGCCATAGAATACTTTTGCCTGTTTTTTGCTTTACATGAATTGAATCATCACTATATTTTCTCTTTTGTTGTTTTCTTCTTCTTCTTTTTTTTAGTACTGAGAATTGAACCCAGGGTGCCAGTGCTTTTTATTTTTTTTTTATTTGACACAGGGTCTTGCTAAATTGCTGAGGCTGGCCTCGAACTCTCAGCTTACCAAGTCACTGGAATTACAGGCATGCACCAACATGCCTGGCTTGTGTCTGTCTTTTACTTAAGTTTTTTATGGTTGTGAGGTTCATCCAGGGACGCTTAACCACTGAGCCACATCTCCAGCCCTAAAAAAGCCCTAAAAATATTTCTAAAAAATATTTTTTTAGTTGTAGATAGACACAATATCTGATTTTGCTTATTTATTTTTTATGTGGTGCTAAGAATTGAACCCAGTGCCTTACATATGCGAGGTAAGTGCTCTACCGTTGAGCTACAGCCCCAGCCCCAGCTTGTATTACTATTATAGTCAGAAGAAAATAGACAGTTTAAAAAATAAAATTTGGTGGAAGTACCTTGGAATTTTCATACAACAAACATTAGGTTGCATTCATTTGACCTGGGATTAACTCTCCCGTCTCCTTTATCTCCTGTTGGTTTCTCTCCTTTGGGTCTTTGGTCATTAGTGTCTCCATGGTAAAATGAAGGGGAAACACAAAAGCAATGAAACCTGAATCCCTTAAGTTGTCTCTCACTGCTGCTCTGGATGGATAAAGTGAATTACCTTTTTTTTTTTTTTTTTGTACCAGGGATTGAACCCAGGGGTGCTTAACCACTGAGCCACATCCCCAGCCCTTTTTTGTATTTTATTTAGAGACAGAGCCTCATTGAGTTGCTTAGGGCCTTGCTCAGTTTCTGAGACTGGCTTTGAACTTGTGATTTTTCTGCCTCAGCCTCTGGAGCCACTGGGATTACAGGTGTGCGCCATCCTGCCTAGAGTGAATTGGCTTTTTGTTGTTTTTAGATATATATGTCAGTAGAGTGTGTTTTGACGTATTATACACAAATGGAATGTAACTTATTCTAATTAGGATCCCATTCTTGTAGATATATGTGATATTGATTAATGTGCCCCCTCCCAGTATCTGTGATGTAAGGTGTTCAAATAGAATTTCTAGTACAAGATCAATATTGTTGTGGTCAGTGTCTTGTTCTGGCTCCATGGTTAAATAACTCAGACCCATAAGTGAATCTCAGAATTCTAAACTTTTTGGCTTGTATTTCACATCCATTTATGTGGGTTTAATGTACAGTCTAATAAGGCAATTATAATTTTAGAGGTGAAGTTTTCTTTAAGCCGCTCTGAACAGGTTTGCACTTGCAGGTGAGGAGGCAGTGTCTGTAGGGGTCTCTCTCCTCCACACGGTGGCAGTGGTGGGGCCCAATCCAGAGCTGACTCCTGGTGCTCCTTTTAGAGGCATGCTGCCTCCCCAGGTCAAGAGCCCTTTTGATGGGCTGGGGAT